TTATTATTATCTTTCTTACTTACAGAATAACAATGTATTCATATCCGTATTACAATTGTAGTTACAACCATTGTCATTTTGCTATTGGTACTTTTGATAATGTTGTAGAACTAATTGATATCGATAATTTCTGAAACAAGGCCTCTTAGTTACTGAACCCTAAACATTTTGCAATCGAAAGAAAGATTAAAAAATACAATAAAACAATAACAAGGAGAAACAATCGATACAAGTTATCAGTTGATGGCGAAAACTGCGTTGATCAACGCCCAAGTATAGCTATCAATGTAAACTGACAGTGGCAGTGACTGACACACGCTAAAGAGATCGCGGACAGCGGAGTAATGTGGCGCGGGGCCCGCCCTCGGGTCTATCCCTGCTCCTTACTCAGGATCCCCTTATATGGCGTTGCTCCAAGTCCAATTTCTTAGAAGTACTAGTGCCATGTTAAAGTGTTTTTGGATAAAAAGCCCCCCAGCAGCTGCTTCCCAGTCAAATCAAGTTCCAGGCTTCCTCGTGACACCAGCTTGGTATCATAATATCTCACTGTTTTCTCTTGAGTTCAAGTCTTTTGTACCAACTGAAGCTTTACGATGTGTGACGACGACGTTGCTGCTCTGATAGTGGACAATGGGTCCGGCATGTGCAAAGCTGGTTTTGCGGGAGATGACGCCCCAAGGGCTGTGTTCCCGTCCATCGTTGGAAGACCCAGACTTCCGGTATGCTTGACCATTTTGTTATAATAGACATTAGAGACAGCAGTGCTCAATTATACATAATTATGTACATGTTTGCAGTATATGGTATGCTGTGTGTAGGCCTGTAAAAGAGGGTTCGATTAAAATAATTAGGAATTTAGAGGTTAATTAAAAAGAAATCTGGCTCATAATTTCGATTTGGATAAATTCACATTCACCCATTATGTATTTATTCTTTTTTTCATTCATTCATTAAAACTTTTTAAAAATCTATTTATTTATTTATTATTTATTTATTTGTTAATTTGCTTATTTATTTTGGATACACAACAAGTGACAAAGTAATTGACATGGGCTTTTGTTGTCTTTAATATTGTACATGAAACATATTTTAGTAAAAATCTCTTTTAGAGGAAGGTGACCTTTTTCCGATACAACATTCAAACGTCTTGTATAACTCATAAAGCAAAGCCAGTTTGTCATGCTAACAACAACTTAATTCTAATTTTAAAAATACCATTACAGTAATTGTAGTTTAGGGTCACATCATCAATCATTAACTATTTATCCTCAAGGACATCACCACCCCCCCCTTCCTCAAAACAACTAGCTAACAACT